TAATTGTAACATTGTTAATTATCTAATAAAAAGCCCCCCGGCCAAAGAGGTCACCTTAAACAACAAAAAAAAAAAAATTATAATATATATTTTTTAATATATTAAGCAATACATAGCAAAATCTAGAACTAATACTAAATATATGCATATTTCAAATCAAATTACTTAAATCGTTTTTGCAATTAATAACAAATATAAGTGTATAAAATACTTGGGGCTTATTCCTCATAATTGCTATCACTATCATGATCACTTTCATTATCATCGTTAGCACTATTTGAAGATAATTCATTATAATTTTCTTGAATTATATGTAAAGATTCTAATTCTGATATCACAAGAGAACTTATAAGACCTTTTTGCAAAACAGTATCCTAAAAAAAACAAATAAAATAAAATAAAATATGTTCAAAAAAAATTAGTAAGATTATTAATAAACAATATACTTACATTCTCATTATTTTTTTCTTTCTCATTGTTTGACAGCTTTTAAATTCACGTATCAATGTAATCTGCATCAATTTTGGAAAAAAAATAATCCTTATCAAATATAGTTTCAAGTACAGCTTGTGTCCAAACTATAATAACCTTTTTTAAGCCAAATCGCTACAAGCATCTGTATAAATTAATAAATAAAATATAATTAATATTTAGTAATTATATATGTGTGTTATAAGAGTAAACTTGCAATTCTAATATAGAATTGCAAGTTTTCCTTGTGATACTCATATAAGTAAAATTAAATGAAAATAGTAAGTATAGTACTTCAGAATAAAGTTTTTCATTTCAAAATTTGTTAAATAAGACCTTCTTGTCATTTAATTTTTGTAGTTTTTCTAAATATTTATCATTGTTTTCCAACAATCTCTTAAGCCACTCCTTTGTTTGTTCGGCACTAATTTGCTTATGGTTATGAAATAAATTATTTGCTAGTTTTCTAGCTACATTCTATTATAATATGATATATAATATATATATATAGTAATATGCATAATAATATTAATAAATGTCAAACTATTAGTATAAATAAATATATATATTATAAATAAATATGTATATATACTTGAAAACAAGTATTCATTATATTTTTTGAAGGCTTTTTTCCTTTGCTTTTTTTTGTTTCTAATTCATTAGTTTTGGTGAATTTTTTTGAAACCTCTCCAAGCCACGTTTGTTGCTTCTTGATTAAATATTCCAGTTTTGTGCAGTGCCTAGAAAGCTAATTGAGCTTTAATGAGTTATCTTGTATGATACTTAGAACCTTGTTTATAATATGCGAATTGATAGCACCTTGAGCTATTAAATAAAAATATAAACTAATAGGTTAAAAAAAAATAAAATAAAATAAAATAAAAAACACTATTTTACAAACTTGAAGTTTTAGAAATAGCAGTCTTTTTAGTAGTAGTAATAGTCAACAATATAGGTTCAATAATAACTTGTGGCTAAGTATGTAAAAAGTTGTATAAAATTATATTAGATAATTTAATAAGTATAAATTAATAATAAAAAATGATAATAAAATAACTTACTTCCTTTGTAATAATAACTTAGATAAAGTTATATAAAATCATATTAAATAATTTAATAAGTGATAGACAATAATAAAAAATAACAATAAAAATAACTTACTTCTTTTGGAATATTATCCTTTTTTTTATTTTGTAGTACAACAGTTTTTGATAAAGCTAATATAGATAATGTTGATGCGAACAATGAGGCTGAAGTTGATACCGATATAGCTAAGGATGATGTGGACAATGATATTGAAGCTGATGTAGTCGATATTCTATGTTCTTTAGGGCATTGCAAAGTATTAAAGATTAAGGATATATCAGAACTGGTTCTTTTGCTCTTTTTTTTATATATTGTGTTTCTAATTTAAGTGATAAAAATTATAGAAATGAAGAAAAAATTTTTTTTTTTTTATATAAAAGAAATCATTATAAGTAATATAATGTAATAGTATTAAATATTAGAATTGTATAAATTAATAACAAATGTAATAACTAACTTATTAACTGACACATTAACTGATTACCTCAATTAATTACATCATTTTGTAATAGAGATTTATTAGTACAACTAAATACTAAAATAAAATTAAATAAATAATTTAAAAATACTTACTACAAACAATTATAATATTTAATATATATAAAGACATATTCGTATTCTTATCTAATATTTCATTGTGTTCTTTTGTTTTACTTGTCATTCTTTGCATACCTTTCATCTTCTAAATATATATAATCTTTTTTACTATAAAAATATAACAATGTTCTATATATAATAGTAGTGTTTTTATCATTACCTTTGAGACTTATAAGCGATTATAGATTTTAGAAATAATATATATGGAATAAAACTAATATATATATATATATATAAAATAAATTAATATTTATTCAATAAAATATTAAAAATTTGGTTAACAAATTATTGTATACCTTAAAGTTCTTTAAAGAAATTGCCAGTTTCTCTATTTCAAATTGTTTAACAACTGCTATAATAGAATTATAATTCCTAGTATTAAATTCATCATGTTGTATTAGATAGAATAATATAAATTTATTTTCTTTATCATGTAGGCAAAGAGCCTAAAAATCATAAGAAAAAAGGTCAACTATATTGATATTTGTAAATATATCAATTATACTTAATCAATAAAAATTTATATCTTTTACCTACCTTTTCTTCAATATAATAGTTTACATTTTTGTTAACTTCAGTCCAATCAACTTTGTAAGTATAATTATAATCTGCAATTGTTTTTGGATGAGCTGATTTCAATATAAATAATTTTTTCTGGGTCTGAAAAATACTATAATTAATAATTATTAATAATGTTTTAAATAATAAAAATTTTTAACTTACTTAAACTTTTGTTGTGAATTTCTTTTATATAGTTTTTTTATAGACTTAATATATATAAATAGTTAAAAAATAATAGACTAAAGTTTACTATGTAGAATATAATTTAATTATACTTGCAGATTTAACAAAGTAGGACCTTGTTAGCAAAAAGACCTTTCAAAACTATGTAAATTAGATAACAATTAAATGATGTATTTGTACTAATACATACAGTATATTCATATCTTCTATTTTTTCAGAGCCTTCTTGCAATTTAATCTAATGCAGGAATAAAGATAGTGCCTTGATTATGTTTAATAACATCAGATTTCATAATAATTAATATATAATTATGTATATTGAATTATATTTAACTCTTAATCATTACAATTATCATATATCTTTTTTTTCTTTTTTTTTTAAAAAAAAATGCCTTTTAAATATCCAAATTCAAATTGCACAAGAGAATTTTCTCATAGAGCTTCACTTCGAAATCATATAAAAATTCATAATAATACCATTGAAAATCTTTTATGAGAAATAGCTAAAGAAAGAGAGAAAGAAATTTTAATGGAAATAAAAAGTAATCAACTTGAAGATGATGATAAAACAATGATATATAGCCAGCTTGAAGATGATAATGAAGATGAAATAGAAATAGATAGCCAACTCAAAGATAAAAGTAGAATAGAAATAGATAATGAGGATAAAATAGGTAGAGAAAATGATAAAATAAGGTTACTTGGTAATGAGAATAGCTATAATTATCAGATAGAAAACCAACAAGAAAACCAGCTTGAAGGTCAATTAGAAAGTGTAATAGAAGAAATGAGCAATCAAGTCATGGTAAATAAATAATAAGGCAAGAAATATTTAAGGCATGTGAAGTTACATAAATAACAATAAACAATAATAATAAATTAAATATTGTTTGTGTAATATCTCATGTATAACAAATAAACTTTATTTGCGATTAACATTAAATATATCAATATATATATATATACATATAAAATTTAGGATCATGTATT